TCTTCCTTGTGCACCTACAATTTTTGTTATTTATAGAAAGAAGAGATTTGATAAAATGGATGAATGCTGAATTTTCATTTAAGATGAACTCTGCGTAAATATTTTAGCATACTTAATTTTGAATGATGAATTTTTGTATGATCAATACTGAATTCTTGATGTTATAATCACAAATTATATGCTTCAAGTCTCATTCCCTTTTTGTTGATGACAAAGGGGGAGAAGTGATGACTAAGTGATGACTTATACCATTTCGATAGCATGACTTAATGAAAATGTCTTATGCACATCGATAACATGACTTATATGAATTACAAAAGCTTGTGTGATATAAATGTCTTATATGCCTTGCAAAATCTTTGAGAATATCACAAGATTGATTGATCATATTGAAAGCATGCCTTACATTTATATCATAAAATTCATGTTGAAAATCTTTATCTCCTGTCGTAGTAAAAATTGTCTCTTATCATTTGACTTGAAAATTATTTTCATCGAAGTTTCGTATTTACTTATGCTTAATGAGAATAACGATAAGTTCAACGGTTAGAACTTATCGGTTTATGCTTGAATTCAATGGGATGGAATTCAAGTGTTTTTATCTTCTCATAATATGGCATATAGATAGGGGGAGTTATGTTTAACTCCGTCATCAATTGATTGTCATCATAAAAAAGGGGGAGATTGTTGAATCTCGGATTTTGATGATAAAATCAATTGATGGGTTAATTGATCTAATTCATATTATTTAGTTAAGTGTGCAGGATTAACTACGATAATCAGAAAACATAAAGCAAGAATACCGGAGTCAAGTTCGATGGATGTTTAAGAGTCCGAAGAATCATCGGAGATGCTGTTGGAACCAACCGAGAAGAAATCGGGAACTTGTCGGAATTTTCGGAAGTTCGCCAAAGAGATCGTCGGAGGTTCGCGGAGATCATCGAGAAGGCTCGGCTACTCGTTGAAGTCATCACAAGATCGAGAGATTGTTGGGAGTCCGTCGGAAGAAGTTCGTCGGAAAGCTCGCCGGAACAAGACTCGACGTTGAAAACTTGCTTAGGATGTTTTTTAGTTATGTAGTTCACATGTAATTAGGATTAGAGTTAAAAGATAATCCTATATCCTGGTTAGGGGCCAATTGGGCCCAAAATTAGACTTGGTTTGGGCTAAATTTAAAGCCCAACTAGTGAATCGATGGGTCTGGCGGTGGCACCGCCCAGCACCCGAGAGCCAGGCGGTGGCACCGCTTGGCTGGGCAGTGGCACCGCCAATCCACTGTCAGTGTCAGACACTGATAGGCGGTGGCACCACCACTGACAGACGGTGGTACCGCTAGCATCGGGAACCAAAGAGAATTCAAATTTTGGAGCCCAAATTTGAATCCTCTTGAGGCCTATAAATACTCCTCAAATCTCAGCTGAGATAACAACTTTTTGAGAAGTAATTGATTGAGAGAAAGATCTTAGAAAAGTCTTAGCAAGTCTTATTTTCAATTTGCTAGTGTTCACCTCCTTCTTTCTTGCTGAAAATCTGTAAGAGAGTGAACCGCTTGTAAAATGTTGTAAGAGGGGTATTTGCCCTTCCCCTTCAAGAGATTTGCTAGTGGAAGGTGGGAGCCTCATCGAAGAGGGCCTCGCAAGTGGATGTAGGTCATTTGACTGAACCACTTTAAAATCGGTGTGATCTCTGGTTTACATTTCATTATTGCTATTTACATTACTATAAACCTTCTTACATGCTTTATTCCCTCATTAACTTTGCTACATACCTTTACGAACACGCGTTCAAGTTAAACTTTTTAAGTTCGGTTTTCATCGTATCAAAAGATTTGTCGAAACCAAAGTTTTAATCCGCTGCACTAATTCACCCCCCCCTCCCCCTCTTAGTGCCACTCCGATCCTGACAATTGTCATATAATGATTCTGTAGTCCTAGTGGTGTACCTGGTCCTTAGACTTGAGACATCAAGGATGTCCTGTATGAGTGCTCCACTCTTTGATACTAGACTTATAAGTTTGGATGTTCCAGATCTAGCACAACTGATCATCTGCGTATTACTTATTTCTGCTACATCTTTATTTTCAGAAATATGTCTCATTCAAATCCCTTATGTGACATACTTGATGTCAACCACCTTATTGGTCCAAATTATACCGATTGGCTCCGCAACTTGAGAATCATTCTCACGGTTGAGAAAACTGCATGTCCTTGATATAGTGATGCCTACGCTCGAGGAAGGGGTATACGATGATGAGATCGCTCACTATGTGAAGTACATAGACGATTTCATTCTTGCTAGTATTATATGTTAGGCTCTATAACTCTTGAGTTACAGAAACATCATGAAAAGATGAATGTCAGATCCATTCTCTTACGTCTTCGTAAATTGTTTGAGAAATAAAGAAAGACTTAGCGATATGAGATATCCAAGGAGGTGTCGATAAGAATTGACTCGATATCAATATATCAATTTATTCGATTGAGATGAATGGCTTCCAAAGTTAAGTTATTATCACATAAACTATAATATCGGACGATTCGATATATCATCTCATTTTATAAAAAACCCTTATGAGATATTTTTGTAGTCCTTGCTACCTTTCAAATCCTCCAAACCTATCATTAACCTAAGCATCGTTAGGAGCTGTGTAAAGCGTGCCCCGATGCAATTTTGTAAAGTCATCTTCCAAACCTCCGATCTTACAACAAACACAAAAAAGTATCCCGGTTGAATCCAAACTTTCTCTAAATATTGAACAATCAGAATTTGATTTAGATGTCTCATTTTTTTTCCAAGAACCCAAATTTTCTTAAGAAAATCCAACTGTTTTACACCATCTACCAAAATAATTCTGTAGGTAAATATAAAAATTGCTTGATCAATTTGACATGTGGTGCTCAACATACATGGACGCTGAATGCAGATTTGGATATCGAACCAATGATGGCTTGTAATCTTTTGGAACTGAACAAGAATATTCACCTCTGATGAAGATTGAAAAATAAATTTTACATTGTTAAGATTTAAAAATATTGGTTAATATATATTAGTTCTTATGTATAAGTTAATAAGTCAAGTTTTCTTGTTACATTAGTGTTCAATCTTATGTATATTAACATTGACCAAATTAACTTGGCTCATATTCATGTTTGATTTGCGAATTTCTTAACATGATACTAAATTACAGTAAAGCTATGCCAACAAGCATTGTATGTGATCGAGAGGAAAACACTATGATTGAGAAATCTAGTCAACAAGACTTTAGACGAGTCATCGGAAGCATCCGAGGACCTGGCAAAAACCACCACGAAATGAATCAACCAAGAACTGGATTCCTGGAGTCACAAGCTAAATCGACTTCCATTAGAAGCGGGTGACACAACTTGTGACCCAGCAAATCCCCCGGTTCGTTAATGCGTCGCAGTCCACACACTGTTGGTTCCATCTATATAAAATCCACTTGCAGATTTTTATCTTTCTGTCCTTCCTTTTAGAAAGGTGCAATGAACGTTTTTTTTATGGATAATTCAAATTGATCAATGCATTGTTGCTGATTGAACTCACGTTCCAATCCACATGTTAATATTATGTATTTTATTTAATATAATAAAAATATATTAAAAAAAATAAGTGCAATGAACGACTTTAGCGTCGGAGCCATGTCGAAGATGCCAACGCCATCTTCCCCGATGTTGCTTTGTTTGATATATTAGGCTGTGATGCATCGGTACTGCTGGGTGATACCGCGACGTTTCGTTCACTGGTGAGAAGAATGCTTTCCTCAACAGCAATACTTTTACAGCATGTGTTTTTGTATTATTTTCCATTTTTTCATATATATCGAGAAAAGCCTCAATTCTGAGCCATTGATTACCTGATGCATATGAGAATGGTGATAAAATAAGAAGCCACATATGGAGTCCATGCTAAAAGTCAAAAAGTCTTACAGGCAAAAGAGTTGACTTAAACAGATTTACAGGTTAACACTAGATTAAAAATATGGAAACAGATACATACACCAAAGAAGGTGATCATCACTTAAAAAGAGTATCAACTCATTCATCAAAGAAACTTTGATGTTAACAAAGCATGGATGCTACAGAAAAACCCAACTCTTTGACACCCAGAAATAAAGGAAACATGGACATCACTCAAGTACATGCCAAACACAAACATCAAACAAGATCTGGTTCCATCTGCTTGAATTCCTCATTTGAGCCAATCTACATCAACAATCTTCATCATTTGATATCTTGTAAACCATAACTCTGTAGTTACTGGAAAAGCTCATTTCAGTCTGTCCTTTTCAGCTGCTTGCCTGAATACAAGTTATGAAACCATATGCAACAATAGTAACAACACTACTGCCGAATTTACCTATTAAGTTCCTCGTTCTTATGCTGTGAGACCAGACTTGTGGTGTCCCTCCACCAGCAGATCTCTCTTTCTTTCTCATGGAGCTTTCTCTCAGCGCACTCTAATGCAGACTCCAGCTCTGCTATCCTCTCCTGCTGTCTTGTTTCAAGGAGCTCATGTAGTCTTCTCTCCAGCTCCTGTGCAGAAACCCCGTAGTAATTGCCACTGTCTTCCTCATTAATTTCAGTTACTTCTCCATTATCGTCACAGAGATTCTCAGCAAGATCGCCATTACTGTAGCCAGTGTGGTCGAAGGAAGACTCTAGCTCGGTGATACCCTCCTGTTGCCTCATCTCTAGAAGCTGATTAAGCTTCTTTGTCAGCTCTTGCGCAGAAACTGCACATTGGATACCGCTGGCTTCATCAGAAACTTCATAGGCTTTGGCTAAGCTTCCGTCCAAGCTCTCAGAAGGATCAGCATCCTCAGGAACCAACTATAACCAGTACAAATCAGCCGCTAGAGAGAACAATATGCATACATATGCTAAACTACCTCAAAAGATTTATCTTGGCAATATGGTCTCTTTTATCGAACATAATTAATGTCCCATTGTTGGGAGTCTTAGAGAAATTGTTTCCAGACATTGGAGAAGCTTTTTTATCATATTGGTTATTTCACATTAAACTGGTCTAAACAATTTAATACCAGTATACATTTGTTAACACATACAAAGCATCAAACACATAAGCATGATTCAGAATAGACTGGTCAAACAATGTCGAGCACGAAAGTGTAGAAGAATCAAGTTAGAGAAACTGTGTAAGTATTTCATTTCCAGTAATATAGAATTAAGATTTTCAATGAAGAATACATAAAGTATGAGAGAAACATTAAGAGTGAAAGTGAAGGAAATAAGAAAACTTGTAAGCTATATGAATAAGGAAGCTCACAAAGTTCAGCAAAACAAGAGGCTTTTCTTGTCAAATGGAAGCACATGAAGTATGATGAATAACAACCACTGAATTTGTCAATTATTCTATCAATCTTTTAAGTTTATAGTTTATGCAAATATCACATGTTATAATCCATGTTACCCAAAATATATAATCAAAATGGAGTGAACAGTACCTCAACTCTTTCTTGATCTTGATGAAGTGATAGACTTTTGGCTTCGACGGTACATTGCAAACATTCTAATTCAACTTGCAATTCTGCTTCCATTTTATCCATGAGGCATATTCTGCTCCCTGTAGTCCTAACAAACCTCGATTGTACCTCAGCCTCAGGTTCCATGGCATGCTGTACTCTCTCTAAATCGAATGAAACTTTATCATCTTGAAAGAAATTATGATTTTTAGACTGTGCACAGTTAGAAGATGCATCTTTCTTCTGAGCTTCGTCCTTTATGTCTTTAAGTAAAATCTCCATTTCTTCCCGCAGTTCCACCATCTTATTGATTTCAGTGACACTCCTTGCTAGGAGAAAGACCAGACCTACTCCCATTCCTAGATTTAAAGAGAGTTCATCACTCTTCTTTCCTGGAAAACACGTAATCTAATAGTTAACCAATGTCGTGTCAGTAGAAATCTTCAAGTTAACATCCTTTCCCTATGAATTAGATGGTAAAATTTCAGATATACAAGAAATATTTTACAACTTAAAACATAAGTATTTCATATAACAGCTGAAAAGAAACATGTAATTACAAATAAAACAAGAAACACCTTATATTTTGAAATTAATAAGAAAGACAACAAAAGGTGGAACATGCAATGCATATAATTAGTCATGCATATAATCAAGCTTCAAATCCTACGACGAGAATGTAATAGATATCCTCTTCAGGAAAGAAAGAGGTCCACCATGTGTTGAAACCATGACCAAAACAAATGATATTTATAAAACATGAACTAAAAGATCCATAGGTTTGTCTTTAATGCAGCAAGTAGTTAAAATTTAGAAAAAAATCAGTGGAACAATCAAATCAAACGAATTACATTCTGCTAGAAAAATGTTGATGTGTGCCAATTGCAACAAAATGTACTACTATCGGGGCAGTTGATACCATCAGAGATGTATGTTTTGTAGAATATACTAAAATTATGTAACTGGACAAGTAAAAGATATTAACATTTGGTTTCTCATTGATGACACGTCACAACCAACAAGCAGCAACCACATATGCTCCATCTAAAAGATTATATTTCTTGAGGAATATGAGAGCACTTCGAACACCGAAGCAAATATATTGTTGCTAGGATTGGTATATGGTAGAACCATATCGGTTCGGCAGTTGCAGGACATCTCAAGCAACAGAAAAGTAGCATATGCAAAAGCTTAATTAAGTTGCATGACCAAGACAGAAACAAAACAGAAAGGCATACATATCACCCAGACTCATGAGTTCCAAATTAACCATTCACAAAAGAACATGAAGGCAGTTCTAAATGTATTGAATAGCTATGTTAATTGTAAATTCAACAATTAGACAAAATAGGTCAAAAAGGAAGTTTGTTGAAGACAGGCTAATAAAATGGCATGCATAAATATTTTAAAAGAAAGGCTATTAAAATGTAACAACAATTAGGATAATGTGATATAGATAAGAACTTAGTCTTTTCATAACCTCCCTAAAATTGAGCTCTACTGAGATAGTTTGAATTCCAAGTTCATGACAACATAAGAATAAAAGAAGGAAAGGCACAATTTGACAATAGATGATAAATCAAAGAAATTAACACAAATATTGGCAGAGAATTAAATGATGCAATCAAACTCTCCCTCAGCCAACAAAAATACGATTTTTTTTCACAGATATTTCAATACTAAAGCAAGCAAAATTGCTCAAACCAGAATTAATGGCGAGCTCCGTACTGCTCTCGCCGGAGACCTCCGGCGCACTCCTCCCTCCGCTGGCCTCCACTGCCGGCTCCTCCACCTCCAAGGCAACCTTCCCTTTTTCCTCCGCCCCTCTCCGATTTCTTCTCTTCCTATTATTAGAACCGCGCCTTCGGAACCGCACCCGGCAACCCAACCGTTCCTCACCATCGCCGCTGCCACCACCGGTTTGGACCGGCGACGGCCGACGCAGAGGGAGGAGCAACCGGGAGAGAAGACTCCGAGGCGAATAAGCATCGGGAGAAGCAGAAGAAGCGGCAATGGGGGAGGCGAAAGGAGGCAGACACAAGAAAAGCTCTCGCCTTTTCGCACTTATCGGTCCCTCCACCTCGTCCTCGTTGCTCTCCTGGAGGTAGTCAGTTATTCTCATCCCCCCAGCCGTCGCCTCCTCCTCCACCTCCTCCTCCCACCGAACCCTTCCCTCTTCGCGCAACGCCACACAGAAGCAGAGCACCTTCCCCTGTTCCCGATAACAAGTCATGTTTTAATAGGATTTGTCGCCTCAACTAGGAGGACAAGCCACCAAACGCTCCCAGAAACAGCCACCGATTTGACGCGAAAGCGAGGAGCGGCTGCTTCCTCTTCCCAGGTATATAAGGCGCGTATTCATGGAGGGAAGAGCTCTATCGGTGGTTCAGGAGGGCCCTCCTGGCCAGCGATTCCCTGTGCTGCTTCCCGGGAAGCCATGCACCTTCTCAGCTTATCCTCACCCGCGAGTGAGCAGAACCCGGAGAACAAGATCTGTTGCCTCATTTATGTCACTGTTTGCATTAAATTCACGTCACATTGTCCTCCTTTGACATTAACCCAAAATTACATACGTATCCCTCTTTAAAATCGATTATTTATTTATTTATCTAAATTTAAAATTTAAATATATTATAAGCAGGTATATTCTGTGACCACTCTAAAATTTTAATGGATATTAATGAATAATGGTTAATATGATATTTTGAAACTTGGGAAAAAAAAGGACTATTCAAGAGACATGGGAAAGGGAAGATAAGAAATAATGAACCTAAAGAAATCCACTTCAACCTATATCACCATAATAAATCATTATTGAAATAATATAGTTTTCTTGTGAGAGCTAAAAACGGAGGAGGAGGAGATGAGGCTAAAACAAAACTGAGAGGTGGTAATGTTGCACGGAAGATTCACAGGCAAGGCGTGAGGTATTCAATGGAAGCATTAAGTGTTGGGTTTATCCTTACGGACAAACACACAGAAATAAATGAGATGTTCAATGAAGGATGCCAATCATTGGAGCCAATTCAGTGTGTATAAGTGATTCGTAAAGGTCGTGTGGTAAATACATAAGAGATAAAAAGAAGTCGATAAATGAACACATAGGTAAAACTAACGTCGACATGAGTTCACAAGGTCACTTGGAACGCTGAAGGAATAAATAACAGCAATACTAGTAGACGTAAACACCATAATGATCATCAACCATTTCCAACCAAAGATGCAACAATATTTCATTTGATATGATCATCAACCATTTACAACGAGCTTACCATCAACCATCTCCCGTGTTGGTAAGCTCAAATTTTGGTCGTCCATTCGAATAGGCGAAATTAATCCAACCTGATTTTTTTTTTTTATCATCGTATTTGTCCAGAAGAGAGAGGTCATTTAAGTATTCACATTTTGAATGTGAAAGGAATTTTTTTACTATAAAATTATTTATGTCTTACGTACTTTGTGTCACTTCAGTTTAAAAGAGAAAAATGCTCGTTTCTTGTATCTTCTTTCTCAAAAACAAATTTCATAAGATTATCAAGTAAAATTGTTTTAATGATCAAGATAGTATTACATCCTCGACTATTGATTTTACCTAAATCGTAAGATACCTTTACGTATTCATCCATATAATCTAAGTAAATTCAATTAAATCCATGATTGATGATATCATAGCAAGACAAATGCTACATGTTTGTCCACATTACCTAAGTAAATATAACTAAATCCATGATAGATGATATCAAAGTAAGACAAACATAGTTAAAAACACCTTACATATAATTATGAGGAATCTAATTGTCATAGACAAACTTCTAAACAGGATGTTCGATGTAATGCTTATGTATGTCCGTGTCTTTTAGTATGTTTATTCTTTACACAGCATATAGAGGGACAGCCGAATACTTAATAGTCTCATTTTAGTTGAGTTTGGTGGCCGCTTTAGGCTTGTAAATAAAGGTTGTGTCATGTGGACACTTGTGAGAGATTATCAGTCTGTAGTGGATCATTTTGATCCTTTGTTGTGCAACTGTTCAAAGCTTATAAAGTCTGTTTGTAATTTGTATTGTCTATGAAGTGTTTTCGCAAATGTTTGCTTGTGAATCCCGAGTGATGCGTTTTCTTTAACCCGTTTTCTCTTTTGTGGGTCCTAAGAGACCATCGGAGGTTTCGGGGAGGCTAACCTTTGTGGACGGACATGCAAGGGTGCCGCACAACTTAGGCAAAACCAGCTAAGTCTGTGACATATGGTATCAGAGCAGGACAAGCACTCATAGAAACACTTGATGTGCAAACGTGAGGGACCTAACGAGGCTACGTTGAGGGCAGTCAGCACACGCGCGACCATTTGGGGGAAAACGAGCATGGAGATGTAGGGAAAATGAGTCATTCAAAGGAGCAGGCATATGAGATTGGCATTCAGAGGAATGGCCAACCCTTCGCGCAAGAGGCACCACGAGAATAAGTAAGGTTGGAAGAATGCAGAGCACACAAAGGTTGGGATAATTGAGTTTGAGCTATGACTCAACATTGACAACCATACTTGATGGTGCTCAAGACAAGCGAGGCGCTTGCTAAAGGATGAGACCATGCAAGGTGGAATGAGTTGCTCAGCGATCGAAAGAGTTGTGCAAAGCTCATAGAGGTGAGGGGAATTGCTCACTCGAAGAATTCGGTACTCATGCATGGGCTTGTATGTGGACGATGGAATGTTCACGGCCATCCCAAGGTGACCGAAACTCGGCGCCATGGAGTATTGAAATTTTCTCTTCGGCATGTGAAGGATACGTCCGTAGGAGGCTGAAGTGTGCAGCGAGTTCAGCATGTTGTTAGGCCTTGAGTGGTGCAGCGGGTGTTGTATTGATGTGGAGTTGCAATCTAGCAAGTGTGTTTGCAGGAGGCAGAACAATGCAC